GTGTGTGTGTGTGTGTGTGTGTGTGTGTGTGTGTGTTGTGTGTGTGTGTGTATTCTGTGTTGGCTTTCTTTTGCTGTGATACATACCTGAGCTAATCAGTGGAGAAAAGGGTTATTTTGGCTCACGGTTTCAGAGGTGTCCACCCATGGTCACTTGTCCCGTTGCTTAGGACTGTGGTGGCATAGGAGCTCATGTGGCAGACCTGCTCATGGGGGCCAGAAAGCAAACACAGAGAGAGGAAGGGGCCAGGGTCCCAGGATCCCTGCTAAAGGCACGCGCCAGTGACCTCCCTTCTTCCTACCAGGCCCAACCTCAAGGTCCACAGACTTCCAGTAGCACCACAAGCTGGTGACCAAGCCTCTAAGACATGGCCTCTGGGAGACATTCAGTATCCTCACTAGGGCATGCGGATGAATAATGTAAAATGGTGTAGGGTCTTTGTCTTCAGAAGACATGAACGTGGGGAGAAGGGTTCCACAGGACAAGGCCCTAGTAATGGTTCTCACTTTTGCATCATCACCACCACCCTTACCCCAACCCCAATCCCAGTTTCTAACTTCCCATTGCGGAACCAGGCTTCCAGGACTGCCCCTTTCACCAAAAAGCTGGCATTAGCCCTGTTCCACACTGCTGCTGGGGAGCTGCACCCCAACAGTGCTCCCTGAAGAAGTGCCTGCCAGCCGGGCTTTGGTGGGCAGAGCGCAGGGACTGACTGCCACGTGGCCGTTCCATCAGTCACTTCCCCTTTGCCTGGGGTAACACACGCTCCCAGAAGGAAGTCTGCACGTGCCAGGCCCGCAGTGTGTGAGCCCTGCTGTGCACGCTCTCTCCAGTAACTCACTGACCCTTTCACGCTCATCATTTCTCTCACAACTTACTAGCTTTTCATTTGGAGAACTAGTTTTGAAAGGATACTTCCTCTTCCACACCCATGAGATCAGGCCAACACTGAACCACCTCACCATGCAGCAGGCCCGGCCGGCCGAGTCCGTCTCTCCCAGCAGATCCCATGATCAGGCCCGGGGGTGGATCCAGCCGTGTTCCCCAGCCCCTGGGGGTCCCATGTCACTTGATGTCTTCAGGAATGCTCACTGCTCTCCCAGAGTCCCGGTCAGTCTCATAGCATTCCTGGCAATTAGCTCTCCCGATGTTTGAGAATCACCACCCTGTATGAAAGATGTTTGAGAATCACCACTCTGTATGAAACAACAGATGTTATCAGATATCAGAAGCCCAGGGGGAATAATGAAAAGGAGGATAACAGGTATAACATTTAAAAATACACACTGCAGATCTTTCAGAAGAAAATTCTTTTAATCTAAAGATCACCCAACTCTTTTCCAGAATAATCTTCACACTGCTAGCTGGCATCGTGGCCCACACCATCATCATGTAATTTTACTTGCTTTTAGACTGTTAATTAAATCATTGTTATTGTTTTTAAAATAATTTTCTATGATTTCACCACTCATTTCTCTCCCTTCTTTCCATTTATCTTCTCCTCCCCTCACCTTGTAAACATATGAATAAGGGAAACTTTGGGGAGAGTGAGGGCAGGAGGGGTAGGGATGAAAATGTAAGCTGTGTCATGTGGTGTGTGAATCTGCCCGAAAGAAATCCATGAGTCTTTTTTAAATCCTCGAGTTCACCTTCTCAGTGCTGAGAACATCTTAATCTCCATCTGGGAGGAGACAAAAGTAATTTCAAATGGGATGTAGAAGTTCCCTGCTGCAGTGTCTTTCCCCACCCATTTTTCAGGAAATGAACACAGGTTTCTGAGGCGCACCCGACCCGCCGTGAGTCCCCGGGTCACAGCATGCAGGCTCGGTGAGGCCAGTGCCTCCCTGAGGTGTGAGCCCCCTCCTCCTGCTCCTAACGCTGTCTCCGCCCTCCCCTCCCGGCCACAGGCTCCCGCTGCCCTGGCTGCTGTACACCCTCATCCACGGCTTCCAGCCCGTGGCCGTCAGCAGCAACGGACTCTTCTGTGCCATCGTCCTGCTCTTCATCATGCTGCTCTTCGTCATCCTCTCCATCGCACTCTGCAAATGGCGGATGAACAAGGTGCTGGGCTTCACCATGTTCGGCCTCTACTTTGTGTTCCTGGTGGTCAGCGTCCTCCTAGAAGACAGGATCCTTGTGTGCCCCATCTCCATCTAGTAGAACAGCCCTATCTGAAACTGACAGCGCGCTGGCCCCTCTTACTCCAGGCTCTGGCTCCGTCACCACTCGAGCCCTGGGTGCCAGGCGTCCTCGTGGCCCTCCCAGCAGGTGGGCGGATGGACGGGTGGACATGCGTCCTTGCCGCAGAAGTGACAGGAGGGAACCATCGTCGTGGGGCCTCTCCACTCACCCTGACGGGTACTCCTCGCTGGCCGGAGGTACATTCATTGTTAGGATGCAAACAGGACAGCCGCTCTACACATATTATAAATATACACATGCGGAAACACATCCTGCCTGTTCCTGTCCTATGCCTCCTTCCATTCCTATAGATTAATATATAACTGTACACAAAATTATATAGAAAATTTATATATATATATATATACAAAAGTACAAATGCATCTCTTCAGGGATAGCTCTAGTATATTTATAGTACCTATTTGAAGAGGGGCATCAACCTGCAACCTTCAGTCTGGGCTTTAACTCACAAGCTGAAGAGAGAAAATTTATATATATATATATATATATACAAAAGTACAAATGCATCTCTTCAGGGATAGCTCTAGTATATTTATAGTACCTATTTGAAGAGGGGCATCAACCTGCAACCTTCAGTCTGGGCTTTAACTCACAAGCTGAAGAGGGAGATCATGATAACAGATAGAGGCGGCCCTGCTGCAACCTCTGGCCTCCCTTGGACTTTACAGGGACCCTATCTAGTAAGGTAGACAGTGTGGATTAGCAGTTTTCAGGGAGGAAGACTTAGCAGAGAGTCTTAGAAACTCAGAGTTGAGCCCTCCAAAATGTTCCCGCAAGCCAAACAAGGAAGGCTGTCTGCCCACCCCGCTGGGGTCATGGATCGACCTTCATCAGGGCTTCAGGGCAGACAGAGGTAAACCCAGACTGCACCCGTACTAGTTTGGGAGGGGTGACCGGGACTGGGTCTGTTTGGTTTTTTTTCTCATATTGCCCCAGCATGCAAGTAGAAAATATGACTGCAAACCAAATTAGTGCTTTTCTAGGACAACAGAACTATACACACTGAACCTGTATCATTCCAACATACATCCCATTATCATCAAAAGGAGGCAGTTTTAGCTGTGATCGTACTTTGAAGCTAAAGGCTCACTAGTCAGATGCCTGCTGAAGAGCCCAGACCTGTGACGGACACCACCCCACAGCAGTGCTCAGCCAGGCCCTTCCAATGTGGTCACAAAGGGCTTCAGAGTCTAAGAATCATGACTCTCGTCATCTGCATGAGCTCTAGTCAATCCTGCCTGGATGGGGACAGCTCAGAGATCTTTGAGGAGAGCGCACTCGGTGCCCAGAAGGGCTCTGAGTCTATTCAAGGGTTTGGTAAGAGCCCACAGACACCGGTGTCTCTCCCCTGGGAGGACCCCATCTGGACTCTTCCTGGTTTTAGGGTACGCTAAAGACTGCACTCCCTCACCTCATTATACTGGTTTTGCACCAGTTAGCCCAAAGTTTTGATTTAATTTTGCTCAGCTTTACACGGAGCATTCTCATTCAGTTCCCTCAAGTTCTGTTTGACACTTTGTATTATTTCTCAGGTCTACTTCAGTGGAAAATAAATTAGCAGGGAGTGGGAGTCAGCAAACTAAACTGATGAAAAGATACGCAGAACCTTCCATTTCCCCAGGGGGCAGGGTGCCCGGTCCTCGACCCATCCTGCTCTGGTTGTCACACACCACTCATGCACCCTGAGGCCACCTTGCATGCTCCTGTCTGCAGTCGGTGTGGCGCTGACCATGTCGTGAGCCCACACCACGCCTCTTCACATAGGGAGACAGGAGGCAGGATTCCAGGCTGAAGGCCAGGACCAGACCAGAGCCCCAGGCCAAGGCTGTTCCTCCCGGAGGCCTCAGCTCCCTCGCAGAGCAGCAGCAGGAAGTGCCCATCCCCGCCCTGCGCTGGCAAGGAAACAACACTCCAAAGGGGGGCCATCCCGGCCCACCCAAGAGAGCACGAAGCCAGGCAGCTGCCCTGAGGTGCTAGCTTTCCAGGCTCTACAACTGCGCAAAGTTGGGTTTTCAGATATGTGGGAGGAAGAAACCCGCATCTCGCTCATCAAAGGCAGGACTTAGTATCAGCAGGAATTTGTGTTGGGTGTTTGGAGTTTTTAATGGGTTGTTTGCCCTGTTACTGCTTGAAAGGGAACACAGCCCGTTATGTGTGAATCCTAGTCCATTAACTAGTTTGTTCTCGGGAAGGGTTACGGACGTGACTTTGTTCTGATCCCGGCTGTCCCTGATCCTCCCCCGCCTCCCTCTGCCTCCTTGCTCCTTCCCATTCACTCCTTGCTCACCCTGAAGATTCACCCAAGCAGCCAGCGAGAATTTTCCTTGCCAAAGAGTTGGTAGCTCCATTTCGCAGGGAGTGTTCCGATCCTTAATGAAAGGCTGCTTCTGAGAAGACAGCATTCCACGCCTATTTCTCAGGTGCATTGTGTGCAGTAAGCATAGCCAAGGAAGCACTGTTCCCTGGTTGAATGGTGGACAGGCACCTCTGCCACTTGCCCTTGCTTTCTCTTCGTGTATGTCTTTGAGTGTGCGGTCAGGTGTTAGTGCAACATCGTTTACACAGTTATAGGAAACTTTCCACATCAGGGTTTCCATCTTTAAGCTCTCTCCTACATGCCTGTGTATGTGAGTACCCAGTTTGTGCAGTATCCGTTATGTCACCACTCTCTGACCTAACCATATTCACAGCCCCACAGCAAAGAACATCAAGTTTGCCAAAGCTAAGGAAAAGGGAGGTCCTGCACACCCACCAAAGGGAACACTCCACCTGGTCTCCAAAGGTCACCGTGTTCTATGCACATTCACATACAAACACACATATGCACTTATGTTTTCTCCGTCCCAGAATATACATTTACAGCCTTAAGGAAATGGCCAGCCATACCCCTACTGCTGATGTAGAGGCAAAGAGCAGGCAGCAGGAAGCACAGGGGAAAAGTCAGACTGCAGATACCCTCCTTGCTTCTCTCAAGCAATGTACAAAATAAGAGCAAAATTTCCTACCAACATCTTACTACATCTAAAATAAATGAGCTGCACCCTAACGGTTTCACAGCAAACCAATAGGCCTCACTTGCTGTCACCTCTCCTGCAACCCAGGCCACCTCAGGACAGGAAAACAACTTGGTTCAAACCAAAAATTCTAAAGTAGAAACTTCTAAATGGCATCTGAGGATGCCCACGTGTCTAGCTGCCCTCTCAACCTGAAGGATTGCTGATGGCCTCAAGCACCTGATGAGATGGTGCTGTTCTTCTTCCCAGGACCTTCGAGGAATCGAGTGAAGGCAGATCAGGGAGCAGAAAGTGTGTGCAGGGACCAAGGGAGGGGGTTGTTTATTGGCTCCACAGATGCAGCAGAATAGCTTAAAACCTTACCCAGAAGATTATAAAAAGAGGCAAGGACTGCTTTATAGTCAGAGAAAAAGCCTCATAAGGCTTCTAACAGGTGTCACCTGATGGGGCCATTATAATTTACTTTATAGGGAAGACATGAATCAGGTGGTTTGGAGCCCTTTCAGCAAAACACAGCCACCTCACTGCTTAGATCACGTCCCTCTGTCGGTGTGCATCCACCCCTGGGCAGGGGAGCGGCAGACAGGGCTCTACTGCTCATCTTTTCAATGTCTCTGCGGCGGCGAGACCGGACAGGAGCTATAAAGGAAAGCGCCAGCTCCCAGGCCAACTTCTTAGAAAGTTAAGTGAGGAAAAGACAAGTGGCGGAGCTGCTTGCCAGACAGCTGAAGATGGCACTTATGTCACAATAATGTTCTGTGGAAATCATTGCACTGACGATCTGAAATAGGCCTGACGGCCCGTCGGAATGCAAGCAGGTCCTAAAATGTCAGTGTGCTTCTTCCTCACATCTGTGCACACGTGTACACACTTAAATTATGTGAATGCCAAGCTCCTTGCCCACTGCTACTCCCGTAGGTTAATGACCTATTACAGACGACAGACAAAAGAAAGAAAAGCTGTTCTCAAAGTGATTTCCAAGGAAGTGTGCTCCAGAAGCTGAAGCTCATTCTCACTAAACCAGATCTTACCCCACCTGGTTTAAAATACTTAAAAGATGCACCCTCAAGGCCTGCTCCTCCCTCAACACTATCAGCTTCAATTAGCAGACAAGGCCTTGGCATTAGGGGCTGGCAAAGGTGAGAAATGGAAAGAAAGGAGAAATTAACTGACTTTTCCTAGGAAAGCAAGTGTCACATCGAAATTTACCCCTATGTCATTCAAAATGGTTAAAAATAGCAGGCTTTTTAAAACAATTACGAGGGCCCATATACAGTCCCTGATTTTAAATCCCTTCTCCAGAGACCGTGGAAAAGAAAAGTAACCACACCCACAACCCTCTGTCATCTGAGTTAAGCTCCCTGCCTCTGTAGTCTCTTGCTGCTTTTTTTCTTCTTGAACCTTCATGTTCTTTGAAACACAGAGCAAACAAGAAAAGCAATAAAGGAAATAGAGCCGGCCCAGCGCCATCCTGTCATTACACATTACGATATTTCCTTCATTTCACCAGGGGCCGAGCCAGCAGGAGGCTGTGGGTTTCTGCGGAAGTTGCAGGCAACACGTATGGCTGTACATAGACGGTGTGTGTTATGCGCGTGGTCTCCACAGAAGGTGCACAGTGCCTGGTGCACATCTCCCTCCCGTGTGAGTGTCGGCCTCACTCCACAACACAGAAACCCGCAGCGTTCAAGCTGGCTCGTGAGCTTGTACCAGAGACGGTGACAGGTAACTAAATTCCATGGCGTCACAGAGTGAGGGCTGCACGGAACACCCTACACGATTAACAGCCTGGAAAACCTAAAAGAATTATTTCAAAAGAAACCAATCCCAAAGTCTGAGGGTGCTGTATTTGCAGGGTGCCAGCAAAGATCTAATTCCATTAAGAGTTTGTCCAGTGGTCACCATATCCAAAAGACAGCGTCCTCCAGCAAAGCGAGCCCACGGAGGTGCTCGTGCTGCAACCACAGCAGAAAGCCTCCCCTGTTAGCCCTGGTCCCTCCAGCTTCCAGCTGAAGGCTTCAGCTTTTTCTTTCTTTTTAACAGAAAGCAGCTGCACACAGGCAATCTTCACTCTGCCCCAACATAGTTCTACATCGCCAGTAAGTGACCCTTTACCTCCTTCATCCACAGTATCCTTACATTTTTATTTTGAAGTCCTTTTTACTCATCCTAATCGATTTTGCAGTTCTTCTCTGCTATTTTTTTAAACATTCTACTGTGTTCTAAGGCATTGTGCCTTGTGACAGATCACGACACAAGTACAGGTCTGAACAGTGCTGAGTTTTGGCCCCTTGTTACGCACCCCTTTCATTCTCCCCTTCTAAAAAGTCACACTTTGTTGCTATCTCACATTTATCTCTGTTCCTGGAGCCCCTGTCTCTCCTCAAGACCTCTGGGTGAAGCCAGAGTGTTTCCCAGCGTGCCAGTGCATTTGTGTAG